GGTTTTTAAGCTTTATGGAGTTTATTATATCATTTGTGGCGACCAGGAAGGAAACAACATGTGTGGAGGGTTGGTGTACTGCGATGAGGCTAACTAACTGACAGAATCACCAGGTATTTATATGCGTTGTCTCTAACTAGTGTCGTTTTATGTATAGAAATAGCCACACAGTTTACCTTTAATACTCACACAACACTTCCACTCTTTACTGTACAGTCACCCAAAAAAGTCCTGTCGCCTCTCATCCTAAACCACGAACCCCGAGATTCAGACTCGTGAACCCGAAGCAGTAGACACTGATACATTAGTCTGTCCATAAATGCTTCGGATTCAAGAGTCTGAATCTCGAGTCCTGCCAGCGTACACGTCATGTTGAGTAAGTGGCCCCTGGGTAACTGGAGGTCATTTTTCCAGAGTACCTAATAGAGACTTTAATTTGATGAGTGTTGTTAACTGGGTCACTGGTCGAGGGTACGGGTATTTGTCCCCTCATGTTGATATTGTTACTAATAAATTAATAATAATAAAGTAATGATAGTAGTAACAATAGAAACAAAAAAATGTAATGATAATAATAACATTGAAAAAAACCGAACGAAGGAAATCAAATTAATAGTGTTAATAAAAACATAAATTAATAGTGATTATACGTGGAAAAATATCATAGACAATGAAAAATACAACAAAATATTAATAAAAAATAATTATAGTAATACTGATGATAATGCTAAAATGCAGATGATAACAACAACAATATAGTAATAGTTAATAATAATATAAATTAGAAATACCAGTAACTTAAGATGATGATACTACTACTACTACTACTATTTATTTTATTTTATTTTTTTAACGTTGCCTCCAGCCTCCCCCAATAGCCACACCTTCGCCGCCATTTTATTACCTACTACTACTACTAATAATAATAATAATAAACTGGTGTGAGATGGTACATATTTCACCCGTGATACAGACGTGTGGGGACTGTGGGAATACTTGGTTCACACAACACAAAGTTTGGACCCGTCACACACTCTCTTGTTGACAGCTCTGAGCCACAACCAGTCTCTGAAGGTGTTGTGTTGTGTTCGTGCGGCTGTTAGATTACTTAAACCTTGAGATCACATGGAAGATTAGCCCCACACTCAGCTCTTATTTCACCATGAGATTAGCTATTCAAATACTAACTTAAATTTAACCTAACTTGACCCAACTTTAACCTGATCCAATCTAACCTGACTTAATCTCACCTAACCTTAACTATCCTAACATAACTTTAACCCAGAATAATGTAACCTAACCTAACCCTCCCAGGTAAAAATAAGCTGTAAGGGAGGTTTATCTTCATGTGATTCAAACCTGGATAAAATAATGTTGACGATTGATGAGAATATGGCTTTAAATAAGGAGTTTGAGGAAAATTAGGCTCAAGTTACGTCTTGGACTTGTTGGTAGTGGAGGACGCTTGGTAAACGGGTGAATGAAACGAGTTCCGCGGTGTAGGTGAACGGCAAGGTGGCTCGTGCGCCTTTGTGTAAGTATATGCTGTGAAATCGCTGAATAAATGTTTGTATGATTACCGAAGCGTGTAGGACCGGCCATTCATCATCCCGGGGAGTTTAGGAGTCACGTAGCGGGGTGGTGATGGCTGCTCCAGGCCACTGTTGGTTTTATCTGAGCTGCCGTGTTTTCTTTGTCCTCAGTCTGTTATTATACTATTAAGTTGTGTGCACTGTAAGTTGTGTACACCGTTGCAGTTGTGTACACTGTAAGTTGTCTGCACAATATGTTGTGTACTCTGTAAGTTGTCTGCACTGTATGTTGTGTACTCTATAAGTTGTGTTCCCTACCCTACCCAAGATGGATAGCAATAATAAGGCAAGTACAGGGCGTTATTACCACTAATACTGATGAGGTCTCCCTAGAGCTTGTTCGTCTCGTCAGTAGACATCTTGACAGTCAGATGCGTTACAGGTCGTGACACCCTTTGTGGCCTCCACTCTGTAATTCTTTTTGGGTTACCGCTCACAGGATGAGTATGGGGTGCACAATGAACTAGCTGCTGTCCACAGCAAAATTTAATTTCACTGTATATCTGTATTTGAAGTGTGTGTATATGTTGTAGATACATGTGTGTGTTTGTGTGTGAATGCTTATGTACATTTGCCAGTTTATCTAAACACGACAAAATAAACATGAATGTATCGGCAGCTGTGTTGATTCTAGTGTGTGGTGTGTGGTGTGGCGTGGCGTGGCGTGGTGTGGCGTCCAGTATAATGAGAGGAGGTGCAGAGGGTCAACAAGTAGTGAATACCTCACCACTCCACGCCCACACCACCACCACTCTCACCTCCTCCCCCCACCAGGCATTATGATATATCACACTTTTCCTCCACCACAACTGAGACACATGTAGGGGGTGTGTTAACGTTGGTCTGTATGTGTGTGTGTGTACAAGGTGGGTTGGCGTATATGTGTGTAGGTACGTGGCGTTTAGCGGGGTGGGCGGGGTGGGCGTCGCCTTGGCAGTGACCGTATAGGGCCTGGTCAGGAGGTGAGGACAACTAGTGGCCACCACCACCTTGATCCTCCTTCCTATCTTCTCACGCCTCCCTCCTTCCCACTTCTGCCTCCTCCTCTCCCTCCTTCCTTCCTTTACTGTCATTCTCTCTCCTATCCTCTCACGCATCCCTCCATTCCTCATTTGCCTTCTTCCTCCTTCCTCTTCTCCTTATCTCCTTCTCTTTCTCCCTTTCCTCCCTTTTTTCATATCCTCTTCTTTTTCTCCTCCCTCCTTCCCTCTCTTAGTTAACCCCATTCTTTACCTATTCATCTCCTCTTCCTAATTCCTCCATTCGTTTTGTCCATAAGTTGTGTTCTTACTATTATTATTGTTAAGTTTAATATCATTTATTTTCATTTTTGTGCTGTACAATCGTCTAATATATAGCACTTGTCGAGTATGTGTCATGGAAGGACTGGAGCATAACACGGAGTGAGGGTGACACTTGACATTATTTGTGTATGGCTTGTGTACAGGTTGATCAGGTCAACCTCCCCCGCCCCCGGGTATATGTGCAGTATATGTTGTAACAAGTAAAGAGGAACTCGTATCACACACTCGAGGCATAAAGTGCTCCCTGATGAATGATCTGTGTGACGCTGGTACAGTATCTCCTCTATCCTTGACTTATGGAAGCTAAGTTACTACACTGAAACGTCCTAGTCATGTGGACTTGGGCAGTCATTTCCTGGTGGAATGCCGGCAGGGGGGGCGGCTCCTCCTCTACCTCAGCCCCTGAAGGTGGACTTTTTAATTTTTTTAATTGTAATATTTACTTAACTGCTTGTGATTTTTAGAGTAGTATTTTATTTTAATTTTAATTTTTAAACTTAATAAACTTTTACTTTACTTTACCCAATGAGTCAATCAGTCCGTTTTTAAGTATTATTTGTTTCTTAATGCGTTATTTCCTTATTTATTAACTCCCCTTATCCTTGTATTTTTTTTTTGTATAACTTTGACGGATGACTTGAGATACTTGTTCCCTGGTATAATACACGTGGCTTTAGTTATGTATCATAAGTGTCTGTTAAGTTAGCCAGTCGTGAGCATGATCTCCTCCTCACGTGGTGCTCCTGACTATGTGTATCAGATCAAGATAGTCGAAGAGTTTTGCTTCAGTATTAAAATGATAATGTAAAAAATCTAGTTTTACATATACTTTTAGTCAACTACAGTATTTGATTCATCATTATGGCGTAAGTTACCTTGTAGAGTCCGTATTATTTCTTCATTATCTGTAAACATTCATTACATTTTTTATTTGGTTTTAACGTGTTTATGAGTGTTTTTCTTCAGTGTAAATTTGCTCAGTTAAAATCTTCTTACTTCAGGCCAAAAATAAGAACAGAGACTCGGATTCCATTTCACGCTCGCAGGATTTGTATATATTGAGAGGAGTCTCTTATTTATATTTTTTTTTTATAGAGCGATTTCTTTTCTCTGGGATTAGCCCACCCGGGCACAGGTCACTGAACCACATCACCGAATGTAAAAACAATAATAATAATAAAGAACCATAAAGAAATACAAAATGAAAACAGATCAGAAGTGAGAAACAATATATGTATGTTGTGTTGTCATAGTAAGAGAAACAATTGAGACCCTGTAATTGTGTGTAAATGAGGCAGAAAGTCAGATCAGCAACCTGGGACTTGGTCACAATTTTTGTAATGCCATATGGCAGCAGGGTCTACCATAGACAGCACATTATGCTTCCAATATCTTCCCAGGCAGTAGTACCTCCCTGTTTGGTCGCTGCCTACTACCTACGAGCGGTAGTCACAATCCTTTAAATTTCCACAGTACTGATTGTAAGCAACCTAACCCCTGCTGTTCACACACCAAATTTTCGCAGGAATAGAGACGTTGGATCCATCAATCCCCCGGGTTGGACGGGACCTGTTGGTAGGTGTGTACAGGCAGGTGACACGTGAAGAGGTGGCTGACAGCTGGTGCTTTAGATGGCGATGTTGTGACCACTAAACACTATGTCTGGGGTTGATGGGTCATTTGTCTTGTATGGGGGGATGAACCAGACCAGCGTGGGCAGTCTCAGTCTAGCTCACGGTGTTGTCTGTACTGTACCTCTAACGTTGTACCTCACTCTAGCAGGTGTTGTCTGTACCTCTAACGTGTGGTACCTCACTCTAGCAGGTGTTGTCTGTACCTCTGACATGTGGTACCTCACTCTAGCAGGTGTTGTCTGTACTCTGACATGTGGTACCTCACTCTAGCGGGTGTTGTCTGTACCTCTAACGTGTGGTACCTCACTGTAGCAGGTGTTGTCTGTGCCTCTGACAAGTGGTACCATATGTTATGAAGGTTCAGTTGGTCCTGTTAGTACTTCTAGACAGTGTCGACAGTGGCCCCAGTCGCTAATGGTCGCAGATGGCAGATGGAGGTGGGCAGCGAGGGTTGTTGATGGAGGAGAGAGTTAGCTGGCGTGGACAGGGTAATGTGGTGGCGTGGGCTGGATAGTGTGATGGCATGGGCAGAGTAACGTAGGTGGTGGCGTGGGCAGGATAGCGTGATAGCATGAGCAGAGTAGCGTAGTTGGTGGCGTGGGCAGGATAGTGATGGCATGGGCAGAGTAGCGTAGGTGGTGGTTCAGGATAGTGATGGCATGGGCAGAGAAGGTAGGTGGTGGCGTGGGCAGAATAGTGTGATAGCATGAGCAGAGACAGTAGGTGGCGTGGGCAGGATAGTGTGATGGCATGGGCAGAGAAGCGTAGGTGGCGTGTGATAGCATGCAGGAGTAGCGGTAGGTGGTGGCGTGGGCAGGATAGTGTGATGGCATACAGGCAGAGTAGCGTAGGTGGTGGCGTGGGCAGGATAGTGTGATGGCATGGGCAGAGTAGCGTAGGTGGTGGCGTGGTGATGGCATGGCAGAGAAGTGGTGGTGGGCAGAATAGTGTGATAGCATGATAGCAGGTGGCGTGGGCAGAATAGTGTGATGGTATGAGCAGAGTAGCCTAGTGGTGGCGTGGGCAGGATAGTGATGGCATGGGCAGTGTAGCGTAGGTGGTGGCGTGGGCAGGATAGTGATGGCATGGGCAGAGAAGTAGGTGGTGGCGTGAGGATAGTGTGATGGCATGGGCAGAGTAGCGTAGGTGGTGGCGTGGGCGAGGATAGTGTGATGGCATGGGCAGAGAAGGTAGGTGGTGGGCAGGGCAGTGTGGGTGGCTTGGGCAGGGCAGGGGTGGTGGCTTGGGCAGGGGTGGTGGCTTGGGCAGGCAGTGGTGGTGGCTGGGCAGGGCAGTGTGGTGGTGGTGGGGCAGGGACAGTGTGGGTGGCTGGGCAGGGCAGTGTGGGTGGTGGCTTGGGCAGGGCAGTGTGGGTGGTGGCTTGCAGGGCAGTGTGGGTGGTGGCTTGGGCAGGGCAGTGTGGGTGGTGGCGGGCAGGCAGTGTGGTGGTGGCTTGCAGGGCAGTGGGTGGTGGCGTGGGCAGGGCAGTGTGGGTGGTGGCTTGGGCAGGGCAGTGTGGTGGTGGGCAGGGCAGTGTGGGTGGTGGCTTGGGAGGCAGTGGGTGGTGGCTTGGGCAGGCAGTGTGGTGCTGGCATAGGCAGTGTGGTGGTGGCGTGGGCAGGGCAGTGTGGGTGGTGGCTTGGGCAGGGAGTGTGGGTGGTCTGGAGCAGGGGTGTGGGTGGTGGCTTGCAGGGCAGTGTGGGTGGTGGCTTGGGCAGGCATGGGTGGTGGCTTGGGCAGGCAGTGTGATGGTGGCTTGGGCAGGACAGTGGGGGTGGTGGCGTGGGCAGGGCAGTGTGGGTGGTGTGGGCAGGACAGTGGGTGGTGGCTTGGGCAGGGCAGTGTGTGGGTGGCTTGGGCAGGACAGTGTGGGTGGTGGCGTGGGCAGGCAGTGTGGGTGGTGGCGTGGGCAGGGAAGTGTGGGTGGTGGCGTAGACAGCAGTGTGGGTGGTGGCATGGGCAGGGCGTTGTGGGTGGTGGTCCTAGGTAGTGTGGGTGGTATCGTGTTTGTAGCAGCAACCAACAAGGTACCCCTAGGACGGAACAAGTACTCGTGGTGGGTGGTCCCACAGGCATGGGCGTGGACAAGACGGGTGGTTCCATAGCCGATGTGGGCGTGAAAAAGAATGGTCGTGGGTGTTTCCGTCGGCTGAGTGGGCGTGAACTAGATGAGGGAAGTGGGCAGGCTGTGATGAAGCGACATCAGCCACGCAAATCTCACGGCCCAGTAAGTTGCCCGGAGTCCAGCCCAAGACTCTCCTGCCTCTCCCTCAACCCTCTCTTCCCCACCTCCGGCCTCATCCCTTCCTATCCTCCCGTCCTCACCCCAGGCCTCTCCTCTCCCCTCAACCCCCGGCCTTTCCTCTCTCACTCCACCCATCTCTCCTCACCCCTGGATTATATCATTTAATGTTTGTATCGAGTTCTGCTTCTTAAATAACTTCCATGGGTAATGTAATGGAACACAACACAACACGTTACCACTAACTCACCCAACCTTCCCTGGTAATTGCTGTTCAGTAAATGGTAGTCTGATAAAGTCTCTTCTGGAATGTTGTATTTGGATGATGATCCAGGGTAGTGGTCATACCCATTAAATTTTCTTAGATTATATCAGTGGTTCCCAAACTTTTATGACGCCCCTTTGCTTTTTGCGATGTCCTCACTCCCCCTTTATATTTTTGTATGAAAATCTATAGATTTTATTTTTTAATATAATTATATTTTAGTATTGTTGAGGATCATATAAGTCCTTGCATAGTGAACATATGATGAAAACAAAACATAAATAATACCAGTCTAAAAGACTTTAATTATTCATTTATAAACATTTTCTACAGAAACCCAAAGAAAAATAAAAAAATCATAAGATGGCATATACCACATAATGGGGATATCATAATGCACTTCAATACACTTGTTCCACGGGATATAGAAAAATAACAAAAATCATGTACAAGACACTAAAAGAGAGAAAACAGAAACGAGGAGAGTGACTGCTATACTTTGGTTTGCACGATGTGGAAGATTCAAACGGGGAGAGAGTTACTCCTGAAAGAGTTTCTTCATTATATTCTTTTTGAGCAAAAAATGTCGCCCCCCAGTTCGGGAACCACTGGATTATATCATTAACAGAGAAACTATTGGGTGACCGGGAAGAACTCTTATATTTTCAATATGGTCCTCCGACCTCCAATGTTTAGATTATAACTAATCTAACTACAAACTCGCCCACGCACACACACACACACACACACACACACACACATGTTGGTCTCCTGGAGTGAACACGCACAGAGTTTGTGGTTTTGTTGTACTATTGTTTGTGGGTTGAGATTGCACTCGGTTGTGGTGTTTTGTCTTGTCTACCTGTATGTATCATTCTGTGTATCTACGTGTATATCTTGCGTCTGTGTCCCTCGATATATTTCTCCTTATTTTTCCATCTCTATCTGTTTCTCTCAACCAACTTCATTATCTCTTTAACTTCTTGTCTCAGTTATAATTTCATCAATCTGTCCAATTTTTTTCCATCTCTGTTTGGTTAGGCTGGGTTTGGTTAGGTTTGGATAGGCTTGGGTTAGCTGCGGTTTAGGTTAGGCTTAGACCAAACTAGGTTAGATGCAGTTTAAGTAGTTAGCTTGGTTAAGTTTGCAGAAGAGATAGAGAGAGAGAGAGAGAGAGAGGGGAGAGAGAGAGGATATATTTAAGGTCACCCTAATGTGGACAAAGATAGGTTTATAGATTATGAGCCCTGAAAAAGGCGAATAGTCGTAAAAGACTAAATCAACGTCGAAGTTTATGTTAGGGCTTTATAGTATGCAACAGTGTGTCGAGGTGACGGAGATGGGTTGTGATAACGGGGGATTATGTATTGTGTCAGTCAGCCCACACTGTAGGGAGCCTACCCAGGTGGCTAGCACTAACGTGGCCAGCGGGTCGGTTCTCTACCTCCTCCTTCCCCACACACGGGGCTTCTTAACTAATCTTCCCTTACATAATTAATCCAACCTTACGTTACATAATTAATCTAACCTTACGTTACATAATTAATCTAACCTTACGTTACATAATTAATCTAACCTTACGTTACATAATTAATCTAACCTTACGTTACATAATTAATCTAACCTTACGTTACCTAACCTCAACATAACCAAACCTAATCTGCCTCTAACTTTACTTAGCCTAACTTAACGTAACCTGACCTAACGTAATCTGTCCCAACTGTACATAACCCCAACCTAATATAACCTAACCTAACCTGACTCAATAAGATAACCTAACCTGATCAACCCTCCAAACTTAGCTTAACCCTCCCACACCACTTTTTATTTATGGGTATCCACGGTCAGGCTCCTCATAGGTTCGTAGTTTAAATGTTTATGCCTTAAGTGTTGATTTAAATAATAAGTAAATACATACAGTATACCGTAGTTGGCATAGTTAACTTACGACGCCAAGGTGAAGACGAGGCCGGTGTCGATGTAGCCGTGATTATAAACGTTCTCTAAGCTTGAGTTTTGTTAAGAATAATCTGGACCCCACGATAGAATGGTAGTGATCAGAGCGCCACCGGCCAGAATTTTAGTAACCAAGATGCCACCGACCATAAGTTTAACTACCATGGTGCCAACGACCATAAGTTTAACTACCCTAAACGATGATACAATCCTCTTGATTCCTCGTTGCCTCGAACCCTCCGTGGACACTTACCTCAGCACAAGGGAGAGAACTGTGATATATATATATATATATATTGTGATGGTCAAGTTAGTCCCACTTTGGTGAGCAGTGTATATGTGTTGAATAGTTTATATAGCACCCTTTTGACAGTTTATATCGCACCATTTATGAACACATTTGAACAGTTTATATACTTACCTTAATTAACAGTATATACTCAATTTGGTAACCAGTTTATATATTTACCTTGGTGAACAATTTATATACCTACCTTGAACAGTATTTACCTACCTTGAACAATTTATATACCTACCCTGGTGAACAATTTATATACCTACCTTGGTGAGTAAAAATAAAAAATTCCTAACCTGGCTGAACAGTTGGCGTGGTGCAGGATGTATCGTAGCGTCGGGGTTGAGCGTTTAGAGAACACAGACACCCTCCGTCACACCTTGCATTATCAGCCGTGTCGACCCTCACCTGCCGTATTTTGAAGGTTTACCTGTGAGTTATGACTGAAGACGCCGGAATGGATGGTAATTATATGCGGGCGAAGGAGGAGGAGGGGAAGAAGAAAGAAGGGGTGGAGATGGATGAGAAGAAGAAAGATGAGGGGGGGATTGTAGGGAGGAGGGGAGATGGAATAGGAGGAGGAAGAGGAAGACTAGGAGGAGGAGGAGGAGAAAGAAGACGACAAGGAGAGAAAAAAAGAGAGAGAGAGAGAGAGAGAGAGAGAGAGAGAGAGAGAGAGAGAGAGAGAGAGAGACCTCAATACACGTCAATCTGTTCCATAATAAAAAAATATCACATCAATCTCAACAAAAGTTAAACATGATATAAAAAACGCCCAGTCTCCATAATTCATCGCTAAACCTTGATGATACAGTCACCACCTGGGAGTTACTGTACCTGTACTGTGCAACCTGCAGCTGTACTGTATACCATACCTGTGTTGTATACCTGTAGCTGTACTGTATACCATACCTGTGTTGTATACCTGCAGCTGTACTGTATACCATACCTGTGTTGTATACCTGTAGCTGTACTGTATACCTGTTGTTACACCTCACACCCTCTTCTAAGCCTCACTCGATGATGTACAGTCAACCCATAGGCCCATTAGATCAGAGGAGACTCTAAAATAACAGCTTCTGTTAACAGAGAGATTGGTGTTGGACAGAGACCCTTTACTTACCTTACCTTACCTTTCTGGATCCTGACAGCTGACAGGTGTTTATTTTAATATCACTGTTCCTTCAAAACTGGTTTAAGCAAATCACAGCTCTAAAAACAATAAAAAATAAAATATATTTAACAATCAAAGTAAACATGTGCTCTCCATCCGCGTACATACAAAAAGGCCACTACTTAATTCACTTAAAAGAATTATCCACCAAATGTAATGCTCTCTCACTATTACATCACTCTTTCAGCCATAATAAAC